TTTTCCAACCTTAATGATTCTGTGATCATCATTAAGGTTGTAGTTAATCAAGACTTGTGTGTGCTTCTCATTTACCATTTGAGTATGTGTTTTCCTCTTTGACTGATGCTGTCTCTGGACTCGGAGTTAACAGCCAGTGACTCATTGCAAGACCAGGGCAGTTCTTACTGCAGTGTGCAGGAGAAACCTTACAGCTGAAGAGAGTAAAGCAGCACAGTATGATTTTATTGTGGGAAGGCAACGTGCTGTAACGTGAGGAATCTCATGAACACTCATCTGTGTTTTGACTGTTTGAAGATGCTCACAACTGCTCAAAGACACTTTGATTTTTCCCTAGAGCCAATCTGTGCGGTTGGACACGGAGTTGCAGCTTTGTGTTGTGCCACCAATGAGGACAAATCCTGGGTGTTTCAGGGATACAGCCTGACAGGGGTAGGTCGAGCTTTCATCTGACTTTTGCTGTTTGGGGCCTTTTTTTTGCTCTGCAGGGGCCTGTGATTTCAGGTGCTGGTGTTTCTGGTCTTATCAGAGAACTTTCTACAAATAGAAATCATCAGTTTGGTACTTTTGGTTTAAATGCAAGATGTGGAGAGTTGTCATTGGCAAGGGAGCCCAACATGGAGTGCATGAAGGGATTGTCTCACTTCAGCTGTCATGTGGGGAGTGTTTTCCTTCTGATTGTCCCATAAACTTTAAACTGCATCTGGAAAATGCTGGAAAATGACTGCTGCAGCTCTTTGGATTCATAGCTGAGGGCTTTTAAGACTTGCTTTTTTTGTTTCATTAATGCTGGAGGTAAGTTATATTTCTCAAGGTGCTCTTTCATTTTAAAAGGTAGAAGAAGTTTTGGGGAAAAAAGGGCTGTTAGTACAAACTGGCTTGTAATGCAAAAGGCAAGCAGATGCTGTTGATGTTCTATTTAATGTGCAGTCGTATCTCTGACCTCACATACAGCAGTGCACTGAGATGGTGCAAACCTCTGTAGTACAACTTCTAGAGTTGAAAATTTACATGCAAAATTAAGAAATTAAGTTTATGGGACTCACAGAAGCTGTCAGTGTCCTGATGTGCTTGTGTTTGGCATTACAATCCGTGATAAAATATTTTAAATAAGGCATGATGTGGTCTAGCAATAGTTGCTCTGGAAACCATAAAATTCAGGTTCCTCCTGTGCATATAAAAGATGAACTAAGTACTCTTAATTTTTCTTTCTTCATTTAAGCTGTTTCCCATGTTAATTCCAAAGCAGAGTGCTGTTACTTGAACTCTGCAGCTGGCACAGCGTTTGTGTCCCACATCAAACTGATCTGCACTTCCATGAAGTTAATTGCACGCACACGGTTCAGGGTCCAGTTGATGTGCAGAAATTGCTCGGTGTCATTCTTTCCTCTTTATTTATCTCATGTAAGACTCTTCATCTTGCTCCCTACAGGAAATCCATAGAAGCTGCTTGTGGTTGTTTGATTTTATGCTTTACTTCTGTTTCATTTCGTTATGGTTGAGAAAATCGTAGGGGGAACAGAAAAATAAATTGCAGGGGGAAGTATGTGTTGGCTTTGGTTGGCTTTTGCTGTAGAAAGCAAGACAGACTTATTCCTTTTGATCTTTTTCAGCCCTCTGTGTACGAACTGGTAAGGCAGCCTAATTTTGCCAGTTTGTCCATCATTGTGGAAGATTTTGTGAAAGATTCTGGAGCTACCTTTAGTGGTATGTCACTCTTTTGTCCAGCACTTCACATTTTGTGGCTGTATTTTGGAAATGAATGTTTTTGTGCCAGTTTTACACAGGTGAATAGGACTCTGACAATATCTCTTGTCTTGCATTGTTACACCCACAGCAGGGACAGGAAACAGAACCAGGCTCCTCATGCCACCCATCTATTTCTCACTAAGAAGAAATGTCACTGTCTTATCTAGTTTCTTTGTATTCTTTGTTTAATCCTCTTCCATCTGTGCTGCCATCAGCCTGTTTATGTGTTTAAATGGCATCTTATGCTTTTTGAATAAGCTGCTGCCGCCACCTTCAGTACTGAGAGTTTAAAAGCTGGTGGCTGTGGTACTGGTTATGTCATGTGTGCTTGGCTGCAGTGGTACTGACAAACACATCAAGAAGAGAAAAAGCACGTGGGGTTTGAAGGCATTTAAGCCTGTGCTTAGACAGTCAGTGGCTGGGAGAGGGAGAAGAAAATAAGGCTTGTTCATTACTGACAATATAATGGAATTAGGTGATTTAATACTGGTTGGAGTGTGGAACAGTTGCTGGTAGATACTAAGATGTCAGGCTGTTGTATCTGGCCAGGAAATCAGTATTTTCCTGCAGGCTCCTTGCAGCATGGTGATTACAACTTTGATGTCTTGCCTAAGAAGAGTTTATATTGTATTGCAGGGTAATTACAACATTATAAAATATATACTTTGAGTTTTTATTACAAAAATGTTTTGATATATGCACTTTACCTGTCTGGTGTTAATTGAACCAAGGAACCAGTCCTGCTGTTCTTCTAGAGAAGGTCTTTCTAGTGAAATTGTTTCAGGATTGGGGGCTCAAGATTGTTCCTGTGTGTTGGGGTTATAGATCAGCATGTCAGTCACCCAGCAAATCTGTCTGGTCAAAATAGTTATCTCCTGTGTTAGTTCTGTAGAGATGTGATACTGGAACTGAAGGGGTGTCCACTAACACGAGACTTGTTGCTTTCTCTCCTCTATGTAGCCAGCATTCCGGATGCTGTACATGTCGTGCTGGACAGGCACCTGGTGACAGGACAGAATGAGAATTCCACTCTGCCAGCAGTCCACAATCTTCTGATCCTTTGCAATGTCAGGTGAGGCGATGTGGCAGATAAGATCTAGGAGCAGACAGTGGTGAGCATCTTTTAGTTTCAGGAATATTGTCCCCCAAAATAACTTGTTGCCTGGGTTAACTGCTGAAGTGCGTGTCAGCTTTGTTTGATCTAGTTATTCTGTCAGTTATGTCTTTTAGTAGAAAGGATTTGTGATTATTAAAAAAGTAAAATGAGTTGGGAAATGCACAGCTATCTATCAGGACTGGTGAAGTAAAATGCAGACTAGGCTTCACTAAGTGTTTCTATTAAGAAAAATATCTCTTGTGTGTTGTTCTTTGTGCTTTGGCAAGTTAGCATTTAGTCACCTATGTTTTAGTATTTTAGGAAGGAGTAGGTTTAATTTCTTTGGTAATGGCCTGGCTGTTTGTCTTTTGTCTTGTCAGATAGAAGAACACATATAAATAACCATAAAAATCTTCTTTTGTTCAGGTGAATGTGTGTTACAAGTCCTTTCCTGGCTGTGGACTAACAGGTCGTGTCATGTTTGGATGTGTT